CTCACAAAACTATGCACTTCTCTTGCAGAGATAAGCAACTATATGGATATGTACTCTACTGAAAAAAATAAGAATCAAAGTGCAAACCAAAACTTTTAAAGGAAACTAAGCAGCTCTCTGAAAAATAGAGACAGTCCTTTGCATGAATATTTACCTGATTAAGAGATGGAAGGAAGTAGGAAGAGCAAAAGAAGGCAAGAAGTAAATAGTGGCTTATAACAGTGGAAGAGGATGACCAATGGAGTTGCACAGAAACCTGTTCTAGGAATCACAGAATCACAGAAACATTTAGGTTGGGAGGGACCTCTGGAGATCATCTAGTCCCAATCTCCCTGCTCAAGCAGGGTCACCTAGAGCATATTGCCCAGGATCACATCCAGGCGGGTTTTGAATATCTCCAGCGAAGGAGACTCCACTACCTTGCTGGGTAACCTCTTCCAGCGCTCTGTCACCCTCACAGTGAAGAAGTTTTTCCTCTTGTTCAGATGGAACTTCCTGTGGTTCAGTTTCTGCCCGTTGCCTCCTGTCCTGTTGCTGGGCACCACGGAGAAGAGGCTGGCCTCATCCTCTTGACACTCCCCCTTCAGATACTTATACACATTGATGAGATCCCCTCTCAGTCTTCTCTTCTCCAGGCTGAACAGGCCCAGGCTCTCTCAGCCTTTCTTCATAGGAGAGGTGCTCCAGCCCTCTAATCATCTTGGTAGCCCTCCGCTGGACTCGCTCCAGGAGTGCCATGTCTCTCTTGTACTGGGGAGCCCAGAACTGGACACAGTACTCCAGGGGAGGCCTCCCCAGGGCTGAGGAGAGGGGCAGGATCACCTCCCTCCACCTGCTGGCAACACTCTGCCTCATGCACCCCAGCATACCATTGGCCTTCTTGGCCACAAGGGCACACTGCTGCCTCATGCTTCACTTGTTGTCCACCAGCACTCCCAGGTCCCTCTCGGCAGAGCTGCTTTCCAGCAGGTCAGCCCCCCAGCCTGTACTGCTGCATGGGGTTCTTCCTCCCGAGGTGCAGGACCTTGCACTTGCCTTTGTTGAACTTCAGGAGGTTCCTCTCCGCCCACCTCTCCAGCCTGGCCAGGTCCCTCGGAATGGCAGCACAGCCTTCTGGTGTGTCAGCCACTCCCCCCAGTTTTGGATCATCACCACACTTGCTGAGGGTGCACTCTGAGCCTTCCTCCAGGTCATTGATGAATATATTGAACGAGACTGGAGCCAGGACTGACCCCTGGGGGACACCGCTAGCTACAGGACTCCAGCTAGACTCTGCGCCACTGACCACAACCCTCTGAGCTCGGCCATCCAGCCAGTTCTCAAGCCACCTCACCGTCCACTCATCTAGCCCACAAACAAATATATGTTCAAAGTTCCACCTCAGTGGACTTCTTCCATATGTCATATTGTGAAGTTCTACAAATACTTGTTCTGCAGTTTCTCAGAATGGTTCCTTGGAAGAGCTCCTTCCAAACAGACTCCTACAGCTGTGAAGATACCTGACCATGGCTAGACCTGCAAACAGATATATGCTGAGGAAGTCCCTGGTGGAGCCACATCCTGGAAAGTGATTTTTCCCCTTGGCCTTTCCTCAACTACTTTAACAGATTGCTTTTATAGGAGTAGTACTGACTGCTTTGCCCACCCTTCTTGACCTGCATTGCCAGAAACTTTCCATAAAAGAAATCTAAACCAATATTGATTAGACTGGAAATAAATTAGACATCTCCTTTGTTCCTGCTATTTAGAAGAAAACTGTACTATTTACACGAGAAAAACTGAATTAAAGACACCTATCCACTAAAAGAGAATTCTATTTATTCTGAAAAAAATTGTGGGTTTTGACCCATAAAACCATATTTTCTGAATTTTATCACATATGCTTTGTGCTATACTGTAGAATGACTCTGTCCAGAGTATGGATATGTAGACAGTTAGAAAAAAATATTAGTAAATATGGAATACTGTGGCTTGAGTCTGCAGTTGTGGCCCTATTATAAAAGGGCCACATTAAGCTCTAAACAGATTCAGGTAAAATGAAGACCAAGCTCAAGTTTATAAATACTAACCTTAAAAAAAGTACTATACATCAATTAGTACAATGTACTAAACAGTGCATCAATTAAGGGTCTACGCAGCCATTTTTTGCTAAAAAAGGAAAAAGAGGTTTGGCTAAACAAAGGAGATTGAAAGCGAGTCTGACAGACATAGCATCCTATTGTCTTCCTCTTTGCTTAAAAGAAGTAGTGAAAACCAATAACAACGCTCTGAGTATTTTTTTCCAGTAGCATACAAATACAAGTTTTTTTTTTTTAAACTGAACAAAATAGTTCCAGAAATAAACTTATTAACCTCAGAGCAAAAAAAAAAAAAAAAACTTTGCAAGTGTATTTTGTACAAGCAGAAAAATAAAGTCCCAAACACTTCTGCAGATACGCAGCTCGTGTAAACTGAGCAGCATATAGAAACAAGTAAAACAATCTATATTAATAAACACCATTTCTGCAAAAATACCCAAGCAAAGAAAACCTACAGTTAACAGCCAGACCTCTACTTAACAATTTACAAGAAATAGTAAAGAAAGAATTCATAAAACAGCACAGCAAGTAGTTCACTGAACATGCCCTATGGAATGCCCTACAGCTGACGTCATTAGCAACTTTATAGGCTGATCTGACTGGAACTCTTAGTACTCAAGATTCAAGGGAATAAGCTCACCTGAAGTTCAGAGCACTTTACCAGGAAAAGAATAAGAACTGAGTACTCAGAAATGCTCAGAACACATTGTATTGTACACGTGAAAGATGTGGAACATTTCTGGAAGACACAGTCATAGATTTTGTGGTCAACAACAAATCATGCATGACATGTTACATGTGCAGTGAATCCACAATGAAGCAAGACCACCATTATTATTCCAGAAGAATAAGAATTCTTCACAGAGATCTGTCAAAAGTAAGAATTTAAACTTTTGCAATTAAGTTTGCCCTCTGCAATTGTTTCTTTGCTTGTTCGTTTTCAAGCTTCCTAAAAGCAGTCTCAATATTTTACCTCCCTGAATTGCTTCAGGAGTGGAAAATTCATTGAACTTTATCTTTGATTTGATTTTGCCTTCAAAGCAAAATCCTGGAGATGGAATTCTTTGAACTGATGGAGACTTCTTTAAACAGAGGACAACTAACTGCACTGGTAAGTACAGAACCTCAATTACCCTACTGCAAACCTTTCCTGATGCCTGGCTGTTACAAATGCAAAATGAGGCTCACAAAAGTTTGCTTCCAGATGGGCTATGTTAGTATAGATACCACTTTCCATCACAAGGGCTAGTGATTTTTGTATGAATGCTACACATTGTATAAAGACTTTGTGTGGATGTCATAGGTTTCTACCTGCTAACGTTTATAACCAGTATAAAAATAACCAGTATAAAAGCACAAAAATACTATAAAGAAAATACTGAAAAATAATGAATCAAAATAATATACACAAAGAAGAACAAATTTATCAGGTGTATCAAACTCTAATTTTGAAACTTAGGAGTTGATAAAATGAAGTGGTCTGCATATATTTACCACTTAAAGAATCACATACATTCACCACTTAAGACCACTTTAGGGAAGAAAGAAAAAAAAAAATCAGACTTTTAAGCCTAGCTGGCACTGTGTGGGACACATTAAGAGGTCACAAAAGCACAGTTTACATGTTATTTAACTTTTTAAAATTCAAGTAGTAGCCTCGGATGTGATCAGAATTCAAATGAATGCAACATTCAGGCCTGACAGTGAAAATAACTACGTTTAGACAAATCCCCTGAAAATCGACTGCTTTCTCCAGTATCAAAAAGTTAGAAAAAGAGAATATTCACAAGCTGAAAAACCGAAGGCAAGAGACTTGAAAAGCCTCTTGAAATACTTTTGTTTTAAGAGCAACGTTAATAGTTCCAGCCGCATAACTTACACACATTTCACCACTCAGGCACATGAAGAGAAGCCAAACCAACGCCGTCTCCCAGCTCCTGCGCTCCAAACTGCAGCATCCCGCGTTTAAAACACGTACGGCAACGCAGTGGCTTGCCACAGGCGTTACGCAACGCCACCGCAACCTTGCGGGAAACTTCGGCGCCAGGAGTTTTACCGGGGGACACGTGTGAGAGGGCGCGCACCCCTCCAGGTGCCTCTCCGGAGCCCGCCGCCCTCTGGGAGCGGCATCCCTGCCCCCTCCCCCGCACAGGGCCCTGAAGGAGCGGGAGATCCCGTCCCAGGCCAGATGGCGGGACCCAGCCCCAGCGGGATCTCCGGACCAGGATGCTGGTTGAGAAGAAAACAGGAGGGAGAGGGAGCAGCAAAGTGAAGCTGCCTCCGCAAACAGGGGAACTACAGAGCGGCGAGAGCCGAGCGCACAAACTTCTGCCGCGGCCAAGCTCAGAGCCGGCCGAGAAGGGGGGCAACCGGACCCACCCGCGCCATGCCTCCGCCGGCGGTTGGAACCGCTCCCTTCCGCCCTACCCCCGGCTGGGGGAGGGAGGACAGGCTCAGCGGTGCGGATTTCTACCTGCGACACCAGCGGAACCAACGTTTGCTCCACGGAGCGCGTGCGGATCTCCAGTCCTGCGTCCGTCCCCAATCCCGACGAGGACGACGAGGAAACACCACTGCTGCTGCACGGAGACATGGCCATGGCGGGGAGCAGAGAAGGACCCCCAACTCCCTCGAAACCAACTCCCCTCCTCCCGGCCGCTACCCACACGACAGCCTGCGCTGCCCTGCCCCGC